AACAATTGTCAATTTGACATTGATTTTAATCTCGTAATATTAGAGGTTTAAATACTATACTTGTGCATATGGCACAAGAAGATTGCTGATGAGGAGCCGTAGCGGGCCCGAAAATGCATTCCATTCTGCTGTTGTGTCCGAAAAATTAAATTTTCAGTATTCTTATAATTAAAAATATCATTACAATTTGGAAAATAACTTATCCCCAAGTGGGACTCGAACTCGAGCCTGAAGAATATTCAATTAATAATACTAATACAAAATATAAAAATTACTTAAAAAATTTAGTAAATGAAATTATTTCAAAATCTATTCAAAGTATAAAGCGGAAAATAACTATAGTTTTATTTAAACAAATTTTTTTATAAAATTTTAACATTTCATTTAGTCGCATGGAATTTGAAATTTGGCTATCAAGGCCTAAATGGGAACAAATTCTTGTACTTTTTTTAATGGTGTCCTTTCCACAAAGGCATAATTTATTCGCATCTTTCTAATTTAAAAAAGAGAAGAGAAACAGTTTTGGTACTTTTTATACACCACTATAGTGAGGAGGATATTATGTGTTTGTGCTGATGTTTGCAACATCTAAAAATATTGGTCCTGAACTCGGAATCACTCAGAATCACTTTCTTAATCGATTTAGCTATGTCCGTCTGTCGTCTGTCTGTCTGTCCGTCTGTTGGTCTGTCTGTCTGCCTGTATGTATGTCTGTCCGTCAATCAGTGTGTCACTCAGAATCACTTTCTTAATCGATTTAACTATGTCCGTTGTTGGTCTGTCAGTTTGTCTGTCTGCCTGTATGTAGGTCTGTTCGTCAATCACTTTTCAAGATAATTTGATGAAATTTTGAACATGCTCTGAAAATAGTTAAAATCGGTCCATTATTTCCCCTAGCCCCCAAATATGGCTTTTGAGCTCATAAAATGTCAAATATTATTGTATTCCTCCAAAAATCAGCAGTCCAAATGGTAGTGCCAATTTTCGTTTGACCCTAGCCCCTTCAGAAAATTACTTAATGTTCAAAATTCACTTATAAACACTAATATCACAATGAAATTCTGAATAACTAACTTTAATGTAGCCGTAAAGCCCTCTACCAGAATTTATAAGGACAGGCCCCTGTTCCCATATAACTCATCTTTTAGTAAGTTAGTTAGTTAGTTACTTAGTTAGTTAGTTAGTTAGTAGTTAGTTAGTTAGTTAGTTAGTTAGTTAGTTAGTTAGTTAGTTAGTTAGTTAGTTAGTTAGTTAGTTAGTTAGTTAGTTAGTTAGTTAGTAGTTAGTTAGTTAGTTAGTTAGTTAGTTAGTAGTTAGTTAGTTAGTTAGTTAGTTAGTTAGTTAGTTAGTTAGTTAGTTAGTTAGTTAGTTAGTTAGTAGTTAGTTAGTTAGTTAGTTAGTTAGTTAGTTAGTTAGTTAGTTAGTTAGTTAGTTAGTTAGTTAGTTAGTTAGTTAGTTCGTTAGTTAGTAGTTAGTTAGTTAGTTAGTTAGTTAGTTAGTTAGTTAGTTAGTTAGTTAGTTAGTTAGTTAGTTAGTTAGTTAGTTAGTTAGTTAGTTAGTTAGTTAGTTAGTTAGTTAGTTAGTTAGTTAGTTAGTAGTAGTTAGTAGTTAGTTAGTTAGTTAGTTAGTTAGTTAGTTAGTTAGTTAGTTAGTTAGTTAGTAGTTAGTTAGTTAGTTAGTTAGTTAGTTAGTTAGTTAGTTAGTTAGTTAGTTAGTTAGTTAGTTAGTTAGTTAGTTAGTTAGTTAGTTAGTTAGTTAGTTAGTTAGTTAGTTAGTTAGTTAGTAGTTAGTTAGTTAGTTAGTTAGTTAGTTAGTTAGTTAGTTTCATAGTTTCATCTTTTGAATTTTATTATTCTCTGTTCAAACCTTTCTTTAAGTGTATTAATATTTATTTTATTATGCAATAACACAAGTGAAATTTAAATATTCGCCTATAAATCTTATTGATGCTTAATTTGTTTAATAAACTATTAAATTTAGTTAATGAATATTTAAATAATTCATTACCAGAAGCTATTTCTGAACAATAAAACTGTATAATAAAAATTTAAATATTTTTGTAAAATTAAGACTAAACACATTAATAATTTTTTTCAGACGCTATTAATAACTTTCTTCAAATATTGCTAGGCAATAAACAAAATTTAATTAAGGCAATTAATTTATTACATAAATTAAGAAAACAATTTTGTTTAAACAATATTACAAAATAGTTAAAATTTTCCTTCATTGGAATTTGTTTCATATAATGACTTTTATTTAAAATCTTTTAATTGTTATTTCTCTATATACAAACTATTTAATTAGCCAATTAAATTGATAAATTTCTACTTAATTATTTATTAGCTTTTTATTATTATTTTTTTATTCACCATTTATTTTGTTTAATTTCTTTATTTACATTTCAATTTAAAAGTAATTCAAGCGCAGATCATATTACTTATTGACTATTTTTTTTCTTTTTGGCAATTTAAATTTTAACTTTGAAAAGGTTAGAAAGTGCATTTAGCTGTAAGCAGTTTTTTATAGTTTAATTTCTTTTAAAATATTTTTCTTATAAGAAAAGGTTTTACTATTGATTTTTGATGTTTGTTTGTTCAGTTCATTTCTGCAAGCTATTTACAAAATTTTTCAAATCGCAAACCAAAACAAATTAAATAAAAGAAAAAAAAAACCTACTACAACTTCTGTTAGGAAAAGTAGTTTAAACAAATTGAAAATAAATGAGCTAAACAGAGAAACAAAAAAAAACAATCAATGAAAGTAAGTTTACATTTAGTTGAGTTTTAATTTATTACCTTTTACAAAAATAAAAAAAAAACTTTGTTAGAGTTTATTGTTTATTAACAAAGAATAATAAGAAGTTGGACTATGACATTGTTTTACAACAATAACATTTCCTTCTCTTCACAGACGAGTTCTGTGTAAATTCAACACACTTGTGAGAACTCAATTCTCTCACAATACTTCAAAACTTTTTCGCAAAAATACCGGGATAATATTACTTGAAAGACTTTTTTTCACAAACACATAACTATTTTTTAATTTTTTACACAATTTTATCGCATTTAACAATCCGAAATATTTTTATTTTTCACAAACTAAAAAAATATTTTTTTAATTTTTTTGACAGTTAATTTTTGTGTGTTGAAATTAAAATTGATAAAACAAAGTTGTATATTTTGGTATTGAAAATGAAAAAAATATTTAAAATAAACTTATTTTTTTGCAAAAAAGAGATTTAAAGTCCGAAAAATATATTTATCAAATGTTTACTGATCAGATGTGGGCAAAATAAAGTAAAAAATCTGCGAATGTAGAAATTTAAATGTTATTTATTTTTCCTAAAATTTTTATGTACGATTTTATGCAAGTATGTTTGTTTGGAATGTGTGGTGAAAGTGGTTGGAGCTCCAATACTAATACAAAAATTCTACCAATACATACTTAGAGTTAGGTACCGAATGACAATTCCTTTACGTACCAACTGACAAGCCCCAATTTCTTTATATTCTTTGTTTATTAACTTAACATTTTGGTTACAAAAAATTTAAATGAACTTTGAAAAATAGAAAAATATAGAGATTTATTTCAAAAAGCCTGAAAGTATGTTAAAATATTTTTGTTTCAAACAGTTATAAATGATATTTATGATTCAATTAACCCATTGTATGTAGTAGGAGAAAAGAAAATTACTGTATTGTTATTAAAAATTTAGCACTTTAAATACACATTTAACGTCTTTTTGGTTTAGATTAGAACTTCTTTCGTCATCAGTTCTTTAACAAAACTTGTTTGATATTGAAGACAATCTCAACATTGGCCTATAGACTGATCTCTATATCTCTATTAGCCTGAGCTTTTGTCTGATCAATTACAAGTTTACATGTAGACTGATTTATAGACTGACCTATAGACTGAGCTATAGTCTGATCTATAGACTGATCTATAGACTGATCTATAGACTGATTTATAGACTGATCTACCGACTGATCTTTAGATTTGTGTATTGACTTGTCTATAAACTGATCTATAGTCATATCTATAGACTGATCTATAGTTTTATCTATAGACTGATCTATAGTCTTATCTTTAGACTGATCTATAGTCTTATCTATAGACTGATCTATAGTCTTATCTATAGACTGATCTAAAGACTGACTTATAGAATGGTCTATAGAATGATCTTTAGAATGATCCATAGTATGATCTATAGTACCTTGTGGGTACTGATCTATAGGCTATTATATAGACTGATCTCTAGGCTACTATATAGACAGATTGCTTTCCCAGCTGATCTATCAGCTGAGCAATTGACTGATCTATAAATTGAACATTGAACTAATCAATAGACTGATCTGTGGATTGATCTATAGACTGATCTATAGACTGATTTATAAACTGATCTATAGACTGATTTATAGACTGATCTACTGACTGATCTTTAGAATTGTGTTTTGACTTGTGGAGACTACTATATATATAGACTGATCTCTAGGCTACTATATAGACAGACTGCTTTCCCAGCTGATTTATCGACTAAGCAATTGACTGATCTATAGATTGAACATTGAACTAATCAATAGACTGATCTATGGATTGTTCTATAGACTGATCTATAGACTGATTTATAAACTGATCTATAAACTGATCTATAGACTAATTTGTAGAAAGATCTATTAACTGATTTATAGATTAATCTGATCTATAGATTACATTCTAAACTATCTATAGACTGATCAATAGACTAATATATAGATTGATCTATCTCAGCATTTGACATTGGACTGAACATTATGCTGATCTTTAAAATGATCTATAAACTGTATAGACTGCTTTGTTAGACGTCCAACAGAATTATATATAGAGTAACCTGTAGCCGTATCAATAGTCTGAGCTATTGCCTGATTAATATGCTGATCTTCTGTATTTACTGATGTATAGATTGCTTAAGCACCCAATTATAAGCGTAAAATTTTCATTTTCTCTTTATTTTTCCACAAATAAATAATTCACAATAAATAAATTATCTTAATTACTAAACTTAAAAATATTCATTCATACTTTATAAATACTTCTTCAATTATGATAGTCTAATGCTAATGCTATAGTTTTCATAAACTCATAAGCTTCTTCACCCGATTCCACAATATAATGGGGAGGCATTAAATAACCATAACGTCCCTGATCTTTAAGGAAAACATTATACACATATTGAGGATTAATATGATATTGAACCCAATCGGCAGAATTGCCAGCACGAGCAAGTTTAAGGCGATAACTGGAACCTACACGATATTCTGCCTGATTCAATTTGCGGAAATTCTAGAAAATGAACAAAAATAAATCATGTTATATTTTTCAGTTTTAGAATGATCATAAGTATAACTTACCGCCATTGCTTTGCGACCAACTTTATGTAAATTTCTTTGATTGTCGGTAACAAAGTCAGCATCACCCCAGGGATAGGCTATTTCCTGGCCATAACCTCCAAATGAAATGTAGGCACCCAAATAATCTTTCATATTTAACATGAAATTTCTAATAGCGCGCGTTTCGGGTTCCGAGAACTTTTTAGCTCCTTTATAAAGATTTTTGCAAGGATTTTCCGAAGATCCTGAACCACCCCATTTATATTCGAAATTTCTATCCAAGTTAACACCAAAACAACCTGTTTTCGTATCGAAATGACGATTTTTAGTCCACAAACGATCGGTTATACGTGAGTACTGGTAACCATCAGGATTGGCTACGGGCAAGAAATACCAATCAATATGATGAATTATTTCCGATTCTGGACTATCCCATAAATAGGTTAATTTTGATATGGCCAATGTAACAGCAGCCGGACTTAACCAATCACGACCCTGTAGACCGGCATCAATAAATACCGCCCAATTATTGGGATCACCATTTGATATTCTCAATACTTCCAAAGGTCTTTTATTGTTTGTTACTCCAATTTGTACTATCTCAGACATATCGCCATAATTTTCCAAAATATATTGCATAAATTGTTTTATATCACCGATATCATGAAAACGATTCCAATTCATTATGGTGCCTGAAAAATGATTTGAAATAAATATTTCAAAATTGTGTTAGGGCTTATGTGTACTATATGGCTTACCTTCTCTATCAAGCCAGGGCATTTTAGGATTTGTCGCATTAACTTCTATGTAGGTTTCATCAATAGCCACTTCTAAATCATCGATCATTATATTATAGGTAAAATCACTTTTAGACATAAATTCCTTAGCTTTAGCTGTGTTCTTATAATCGATTAATACATCAATACCATCTTGATTAATATTCCAAACTTCTGTGCCTGTAAAGAGATCGAGAAAAAATTGAAATTTTAATAAATTTGTTTGATCAAGGTCGGACTGATCTTTATATAGAATGAATTCTATATAGACTGATCTATTAACAAGTTTATACATTGATCAATCTGATAGAATGAACTATAAACTGTAAGATTGAAAATCAATAGAAATTAAAATAAATTTATTTGATCATGATTAGACTCAGCATTATATAGACTGGATTATATTTAAAACTGATCTATAAACAATTTTATATATTTATCAATACACTGGACTATAAACTGATCCAAAAACTGGTCTATAGACTGATTTGAGGACTAGTCTATACACTTATCTGTAGACTGATCTATTAACTATATATAGACTTGTCTATAGACTGATTTATAAACTGATCTATAGACTTGCCTATAGACTGATCTGTAGACTTGTCTATAAACTTGTCTATAGAATTGTCTATAGACTTGTCTATAAACTGATCTTTAGACTTGTCTATAGACTGATCTGTAGACTTGTCTATAGACTTGTCTATAGACTGATCTATAGGCTTGTCTATGGACTGATCTATAGACTTATCTATAGACTTGTCTATAGACTGACCTATAAATTTGTCTATAGACTGATCTATAGATTTCTCTATATTGATCCATAGATTTGTCTATTGACTGATCTATGGATTTGTCTATAGACTGATCTATGGATTTGTCTATAGACTGATCTATAGATTTGTCTATAGACTGATGTATAGATTTGTCTATAGACTGATCTATAGACTTGTTTATAGATTTATATATATATTTATCTATAGACCTGTCTATTGACTGATCTATAGACTGACCTATAGACTTGTCTATAGACTGATCTATAGACTTGTCTATAAACTGATTTATAGACTGATATATAGACTTATCTATAGACTAATCTATAGACTGATCTATAGATTTGCTTATAGACTGATCTATATATTTGTCTATAGACAGATCTATAGATTTGTCTATAGACTGATCTATAGATTTGTCTATAGACTGATCTATAGTTTGTCTTTAGACTGATCTATAGACTTGTCTATAGACTGAGCTATAGACTAGTTTATAGACTGATCTATAGACTAGTTTAGAGATTGTTTTATATACTGCTCAATAGACTGATATATAGACTTATCTATAGACTAATCTATGGACTTGTCTATAGACTGATCTATAGACTTGTCTATGGACTGATCTATAGACTTGTCTATAGACTGATCTATTGATTTGTCTATAGACTTGTCTATAGACTGATCTATAGACTGATCAATAGACTGATATATAGACTTATCTATAGGCTAATCTATGGACTTGTCTATAGACTAATCTATAGACTTGTCTATAGACTGATTTATTGACATGTCTATAGACTGATATATAGACTTGTCCATAGACTGGTCTACAGACTGATCTATTGACTGATCAACAGACTTATCTATAGACTGATCTATAGATTTGTCTATAGACTGGTCTACAGACTGATCTATAGATTTGTCTATAGACTGATCTATAGATTTACCTATGGACTAATCTATAGACTTACTTATAGACTGATCTATAGACTTGTTTATAGATTGATCTATAGATTTATCTATAGACCTGCCTATTGACTGATCTATAGGCTTGTCTATAGACTTACCTATAGACTTGTCTATAGACTGATCTATAGACTGATATAAAGATTTATCTTTAGACTAATCTATGGACTTGTCCATAAACTGATCTGTAGACTTATCTATAGACCAATCTATGGACTTGTCTATAGACTGATCTATAGACTTTCTATAGACTGATCTATAGACTTGTTTATAGACTGATCTATAGACTTGTCTATAGACTGATCTATAGACTTGTCTATAGACTGATCTATAGACTTGTCTATAGACTGATCTATAGACTTGTCTATGAGTGATCTATAGACTTGTCTATAGACTGATGTATAGACTTGTCTATAGACTGACCTATAGACTTGTCTATAGACTGATCTATAGACTTACCTATAGACTGATCTATAGACTTGTTTATAGATTGTTCTATAGACTTGTTTATAGATTGATCTATAAGACTTGTCTATAGACTGATCTATAGACTGATGTATAGAATGATCTAAAGACTGATATTTAAAATGATCTGTTAACTGATTTCTTTTGTAAAATACTTAATTTAGTAAAGTTTTTATATATTTGCCATAACTTCGCTATTTGGAAGTTTTCAATTTATTCTGTATTTATTGATTTTTGCAATACTTTATATGTGTGTGAATTTGTCAATTACTATCTTTATAAAGAAAAGATTTTGAATTATTTATTTAAGGGTAAATATCAATAACTACTCTATTTGTGGGAAGATTTCAATTATGGAAACATAATAACAATTTCTCTAAAATCCGTATTGTCTTGGGGACACGTGAACTTAAATTTTTATGTTAATTTTTTTTTTTTTTTTTTTTGTAAAACAAACATAAAATGTTTCTTTGGCGATTACGTCTTTATTTTAAACAAAAAGAGATTGTTTATATAAATTAATGTAGATTTTATGCAATGAATAACATTATCCTAATATCAATTTATTATAAAAGAAAATTTAATTATGATTAACAATAGCTTAAATAGTAGTTATATGATGCGAAATTTAAATTTGCATTTGAATAAAAACGTAAAATTTTAAACAAAACACATTTGAATAGTCTGTTAAAAATTTAAAATAATAAAAATATTTCAAAAAAGTTTTAAAATAATTTTTGCAAATTACAAAGTTAACTAAAATTTGTTAAAACTTACGCCACACTAACCAAATAATTTCCAAAAATGATTTAATTCTTTATTCGATACATCATTCTCATGAATTTTCCACAATTGATGACCGAAATATCTTTTAACTGAGGGATCATTGCGATAACGCATATTGATCTGATATGTGGAAGAGGGTGAGAAAACATTGAAACGTCTTATATCGGTGGGTATTAACCATTGTAAACTTTCCATGGTATTATCGTATAGATCTTCACCCGAAAAAAATACCGAAGATAAACTACCGTTTGTACTGCGCACAAGTAAATATAAGCCATTATTGTTATTAAAGCGCGAATATTGTCGTGAATATGTTGTCGTTAGTAAAGTTATTAAAATAAATAATTTTATTAAAATATTGTTTAAATTAAAATATAATTTCTTAATTTGAAACATTCTCTTTTCAATATATTTTATATTCTTTCTACTTTTTTCACTTAATTCGATCTTTTAGTCGCGCTGTTTGCAAACAAACTGATTAAAGCGAAATTCTTTAATTCGTAACAGGGCCAGAGATTTTTTTCTAAACTCATCTTTTAATTTATAGCTGTATTTTTATTTCTATGTTTGGTAGAATATTTATATCTTATGTATCCACGAGTTTACCAAATATAAAATAAAATATTAATAATATTTGATAAATTTTTAAAATATGCATGATGGTATTTCGTAGAATATGTTTTCCCTGTTGTTTTACTCACGTTTAAAATGTCTGGTTGTTAATTTTTATTTGTGATTCTACCTTTGACCAGGTTTATTATTTCGCTTTGGGTCAGAACTTTTTTTATGTAGATCTTTTGTTTAGGGTTTTAATACATAGAATAAACAGGTTTATGTAGGGTCAATAGACTTTCTAATGATCTAAAGAAATGGAATCAGTTAGTTTGATGTTTTTCTAATAGACTCTTAATTAATTTATTGTATGTTTGGTTTTGAAAATCTAAACTAAGGTCATGATGTTTTGCATATTCTATAGGCCGACAGTTTTGTTAAAAATGGCTACCTACCACATAAATCTTTTGAAAAATGTAAAACGGAAATATCTTTGAAATAGTAGCTTTTAAATTATAAGGGCCATTTACAAAGTAGTAAGTTAAGCAGTGATATTAACATCTAGTCAAGTCTATAGTCTAGTCTATAGTCTAGTCTATAGCCTAGCCTATAGTCTAGTCTATAGTCTAGCCTATAGTCTAGTCTATAGTCTAGCCTATAGTCTAGCCTATAGTCTAGCCTATAGTCTAGTCTATAGTCTAGTCTATAGTCTAGACTAGTCTATAGTCTAGACTAGTCTATAGTCTAGTCAATAGTCTAGTCAATAGTCTAGTCTATAGTCCAGTCTATAGTCTAGTCTATAGTCTAGTCTATAGCCTAGTCTACAGTCTAGTCTATAGTCTAGTCTATAGTCTAGTCTATAGTCTAGTCTATAGTCTAGTCTATAGTCTAGTCTGCAGTCTAGTCTACAGTCTAGTCTATAGTCTACTCTACAGTCTAGTCTATAGTCTAGTCTATAGTCTAGTCTATAGTCTAGTCTATAGTCTAGTCTATAGTCTAGTCTATAGTCTAGTCTATAGTCTAGTCTATAGTCTAGTCTATAGTCTAGTCTATAGTCTAGTCTATAGTCTAGTCTATAGTCTAGTCTATAGTCTAGTCTATAGTCTAGTCTATAGTCTAGTCTATAGTCTAGTCTATAGTCTAGTCTATAGTCTAGTCTATAGTCTAGTCTATAGTCTAGTCTATAGTCTAGTCTATAGTCTAGTCTATAGTCTAGTCTATAGTCTAGTCTATAGTCTAGTCTATAGTCTAGTCTATAGTCTAGTCTATATCTAGTCTATAGTCTAGTCTATAGTCTAGTCTATAGTCTAGTCTAGTTTAGTCTAGTCTATAGTCTTGTCTACAGTCTAGTCTATAGTCTAGTCTATAATCTAGTCTATAGTCTAGTCTATAGTCTGGTCTATAGTCTAGTCTATAGTCTAGTCTATAGTCTAGTCTATAGTCTAGTCTATAGTCTATAGTCTAGTCTATAGACTTGTCTATAGTCTAGTCTATAGACTTGTCTATAGTCTAGTCTATAGTCTTGTCTATAGTCTAGTCTATAGTCTAGTCTATAGTCTATAGTCTATTCTATAGTCTAGTCTATAGTCTATTCTATAGTCTAGTCTATATTCTAGTCTATAGTCTAGTCTATAGTCT